ATAGAAACTTTATTTCGTGAATCTCTCCTGCTCTTCACAACCAGCTGATGGGTTCCCAGCCAATCACGCAACTTACTTCGCTTTTGCCTACTAGTCCCCTAAAGGAGAAAAATCTAACTGTCGCGAACACCTCCGAACAGACATCCAGTTATTCTTCGCGTCGAAGGCCGCGTAATTCTGGGAAAGAGCTATCCATTCACTAGCGTATACAGGCGGAGGGGGGGACAAAAGAGTCATCAAGCGCATATCATCAAACTTTTCGTCGCAAAGGATGCCGCTGTTATTGGGAGTTATACGGCAAATTATTCCTTAGATGTCCCCCCATAAGCAGAATCAGGCCCACCTTCGCTGCGTTCACCGTCTCCAGAATATGACGTCATCTGTCATCACCGTCGAGCTCAAGGAGGCCTACCATAATCGCTCCATTCTGAAGCTGCTACATAATTCTTCAATCGGATAACTGGTGAATGGCTTCTTAGGACACTAGCTCTGACTATGCAAATGGCTTTTGACCAGCGTTTCAGAGACGTCGTAATCATCTATGGTTTCTCGACGACCCCGTTGAGCTCGTACCGCGAACCATGTTTCCGTGGGAAAATCTTCTGGTGTCGTCGGTGTAGAAGGCCACTATGCAATTTTGATAGAATAGAATGTGCTCTTCAATATGCAATTGAGGCTCGTTCGGTTTGGTTCTGGCAAAGTGTAATGAATTCTATTTTGAATGTGAGTAAGAGTGACTTTTTTGCCTTCCCCCTACCCCCGAGATGGAGGGGAGTTGGAGTTGTTGTGAATCTGAGTATTAATAAAGATGGCAGAAAGTTGTGGAATTTTCAAAATCGATGTCAAATCGGCACTGAAACTCAACCTACTACTGCTTGGATGATGAAATCATAATGTGCTCTCCCCAGCAGTACTAAATGTGGTTCTCTAGAATGGAAACGGTAGGCGGTTGAAATTGATAAAGCCTTTTTGGGACACAAAATGAGCTGCGGCGTCCCCTCTCCTTTCAGAATATTTAGAAAAACAGCACATTTTCCAGCGAACCAGAAGAGCATATAATCAAGAACCAAACACAAGATCTTGATATTTAACAGAACGCAAACATTCAAGGCTTCTATACAAGGAGGGATTTCGAAGAACATCACATTTATGGTGGGGACATTGGCAGAGTTAGGTCAGTAGAAAAGTTTTTGGCAGAAAAAAAAACGCTCTCAGTAGCTCTCTACAGGCGAAATCTGGCTGCTGTCTCACTTTGTTGTTAAGAAACGTAGACGCATGTTTCTGAAAACCATTGATATCATGTCAGCTTTTTCTCAAATTAGTTTGGCACTTAAAGTGAAACCACAGTGAAACAGGCTAATGTCAACTAATCCACACCTAAGACAGCTTATTTCTCACCGCTCAAAACATGCTCAAAAAAGTCCGACTTTTATTCAAACAAGTCACGCCTATCATGTTGCAGATGTTTATTCCTGCATGATTTCTGTGTTTGAAAATTTCTTTCCTAGCCTATTTTCGAGAGAGTGGTCTTAGCTTGATAAGCATATAAATCGCTAGGCTTGGTCATTCTACCGAGGTGCGCCACACATTCATCCCATAATCAAAATTGCTACGGTAATTGAATCGTTAGTGAGCGACTATCAGGAGCCGAGCAATACAAGATTTAGTGATATTGTCCTCTCTACGAGTCTTCTATCAACCTGAAAGGCTGGGAGGCTTTCTATCCCTAAACGGCTCTGGTGAAATCCAATCCATGGAAAATGCGTGTGACAGTAGCGCTCTTTGCCTCTGCCCTATCCTACCCACTGGAAGTCTTCAGCTTACTGTGACTCCTAATATGTATATGTACATAAGATGTAGACGTTTCATCATATATTTCCTTTTCTACTCCAGCAGGCGGTACGATAACGCCTTTGGCCAATAGAAATCAGGTCTTAAGGAAAGAAAACCTCAGAGTATAAAGACTAAAGGCTGCAAAAGAGCAATTTGCATGAAGGTCGGTCAGAACTCTAATGCTAAGGATAATGTGAGAGTCTCGAGGTGAGAGCGGCAGATAAATGAGAAATACCGACACTTCAGACATTCTATCAAACATATGGGTATCGTGGGTTAATGAGTAAGAAAAAAAAACAAACAAAGATCGAATCTACGGGGCCGCCATTTTGGCTGGAAGCCTCAACAAACCGATCAATTTAGCGCTC